CTGCATAAACTGTATACTTGTATATATACATAAAACACCCGTACTTAATATTAGTAACTACGTGTAGCAACCTAAAAGACCTATACCTACTCGTGATAAGTACCTAATTTATCTTTAAAACGTATGTAAGTCACATTCACATGAAGTGGTCACATTGGTATAAAAAAACAGTTGAACAAAGAAAATGTTTTGGAGCGAGACAAATACTAGAGTCTACAATGAGATCACGCACGTTCATGCATACCTGAATCTCAGCATGGAGCTTAAAATAGAGCGCCCGTTATCTTTACTTACTACACCACTTGGCGTAGGGACCTTCCACCAAAATTAACGTAATAAACAGAAAGCGTAACTTAGTAAATTCACACATAAGAACTAAATAATACATAATATTAAAACACTGCCGCAAGATTACCACGGTAACTTCTATACGTTTTCATACGAGTAGTAAATTAATGCCTACACACACACCCTTTGAATCTGGCGAAACGACAAACTAGAATGAGTGTGACGTACTTAATGTCTAAGTATTGGCATTGATTTCAACTGTTAAGTAGTAATAACTCACTCCTCCTACGTAACAGACAATCTATACTAATATTATAAATGCGAAAGTAACTCTGTCTGTCTGTCTCTTTCACGCAAAAACCACTAAACCGTTTCTAATGAAATTTGGCATAGATATAGTTTGAGAGTCCCGGGAAAGGACATAGGATAGTTTTTATCCCGGTTTTTGAAACAGGAACGCACGTGATAAACTTTTTCTGTGAAAGACAAAATTCCACACGGGCGAAGCCGCGGGCGTAAAGCTAGTAATCAATAAGATAAACACGACTTAAATATCACTCAGACATGGTTTACAGACGCATCGATATTGAATCAGTCGCCTATTAACAATGCAAATAGTGTAATCTGCAGCCAACGTAATGCCAAAGCATTGCTCCTCTTCCACTCCATTATTACAACTAATTCCTACCATTGTAAACTTTATATTAAAGGCAAAAGAGACTTGCGAGAGTGCAAGGGTAAGTTGGTAAGTGTACACAGCATTGTTGGCAAATCCAAACTTATGCAGAGGAGGGATGTTTACGGAGGACGTTTGTTGCTGCTTAATGCTTGTAGTTTCTACTGTCCCCAGTTTTGCTAGAGATCTTGGCGAATACAAGACTTTTAGATAGACTAGAGTGCAGGGTGTCAATCTTATAAAAAATTAGGTAATATACATTAAGTACTGGTAATAAGTCAACACTAGGTTTTGCCCACGGCTTCACCCGCGTGAAATTTAGTTTGTCACAGATCGTCATAATTAAGTATAGCCTATATGTTATGCTGGAATATAAACAATTATACTGTAAAGTTTAATCAAAATCCGTTCAGTAGTTTTTGCATGAAAGAGTAACAAATATTTTAACATCCAGACATCCATACAAACTTTCGCATTTATAATATTAAGTAAGAATTAAGATTCCATAATAGAAACCTATTTACTAACAGATTTATACGTCGACGTTATGGATGGCCTTTATTTTTATGTGTTTGCAGGATTTTTCAATTAAAATCCTACCCACTTTTCCTATACATCAGCTGAAGAGGCGGGTAGTGAGTGGGTAATCCTTCCTTTTATAAATAGTGGTGTTTAATGGTTATAATTTCACTAGTATTTATTTGCTACGAGTATTGATCAATAAAGGAATAATTTTTCAAACTTACAACATACTGTGTTCTCATAATTTAGTTATTTAATTAACTATTTTGAGTTGCTGCTATTATGTTCTCTAGATTCTACAGGAAATAGTTTTTCTTATTTCAATAATAACATCGAGCTGGCAAAGTCCATTTTCTTTCAACGTCCTCACATTCCATAAACGTCTTTCACAACCTCCAACCTTTCAGAGCCAACAACGTGTTCGGGGCATGTACAAAAATAATGAAACTGTTACATAGTGTTATAATATCCGGTGCGCCCAGCAAAATCAAATGTTTATGTGCCGTGAAATAGGGACTCCCCCGCGGGTGGCATCCGCTTTTACAAACTGTAGCATAAATATGTAATGGTTTAGAAACTCTTTTACATTATCCCACTTTGTAATTTATTCGCTTCGTATAGGAAATACAAACCATAAAGCGTTCGTGATTAATCGCTCGTTTTTAATTTTCGTCGCTGTTTGCAGGTAAGCCCTTGCTCTAAAGTTGACACTTCATTTAATTTTATCTCGTTTCCGCGGGCTCAAAATAAAGGGATGCATTGACCTAGTTTTTGTGACCTTTTAGAATTTTAGCCGAGCTGCGGTTCTGTCTGGAGTATATTATTTTTACTAAATTACTAGATACGAGCACCTACTTAAATTGTTGTGTTTCTATTCCCTTTTCAGTCTATTCGTATTGTAAATACCCTTGTAGATACAGACTAAACGTAGTATGGAATCCTCTAAGAACTAACTCAGCGAAGTTTTTGATTTTTATTGTAAGCATAATTGAGGTTTAATGGTATAACAAATACCTAAAGATAAAAACTATCGCATGATAAAAAATGACACTTTTTGGTAAAAAAAAAAAAACAATTTCCGTACAACCTATATCTAGACCTATGTCTCACCTAGGCACCAAAGCATTGCAACTAGAACGCCTACAAGTTCTTTGCAGTTAATAAGCCCCAATCCATTACGGCGAAGACAAATGCAAGTAAGGATCTAGGAGATTGGCTCGTTCCGTGTAAATTATGAGGAAATCGATGCAATCCGACTGGAGAGTGCCAGCTTATAGGCAATAGCGGCGTGATTAGTTGTTTGCATTAATCTCGGACATCGCTTCTCAAGCTTCTCGTTTAACTTGTTTATGTTACAGTTAAGTGAATTGCCATAAATCACAAATGAAGCGCCTTGGATGTTTATGTTGTAAACAAGACGGCAGAATTTGATAGAGGTTTTGGGACGGTATCTTTACATTCTAACTACTAGTAAATATTGAAATCAATCTGAAATTCGCATATGACGAATTATTAATATAAAAAGATCTAAAAATTATTTACCTATTCAAAAAACTGAAATAGGTAGAGCACACCAAGTTTTGTGAAACACGAGAAAATGTTTTGCGCAAAATAAAAGTAAAATAGAAAGCGTTGCTTAAACAGAAACACAACCTCCCTTACCTCTTTATTTCCGCCATTTTAAACGGTAACTGTCCACTCCATCTCCGAGACGTTGAGAAGCACTGCCCTAAACAAAACGGACCCGACAAAGATCTGACAAATGGACCGAGCTAAACTCGCCACATTATCTGGGCACGGCAACTATGTGTCCTCGCTACTGGGCTAATCTCGCCCTTATTTCTGGGGGAAGAAGCGTCACTTTTAATTGCCCCGAACAGTGGGGTCTAAGCCCAGAAATCCGCCATTACGACGAACGACTCGGCCCTAAACGTGGCCTTAGGGCCCGGCAGTTTACACTATACGGGTGCACAGGCCGGGCAGAACAGCCAGGTTCAGTGTGCCACTAACTTATGTTTATACGTAAGTATTGATCCATTTTCATTTCAGTTATCTTGTATGTAAAGCTATTGGCAATAACAGTAACTTAATATAGGAATAGGGCCTTTGCAAGTCAGTCAATTTAGTGGTCTAGTGTTGTTGGGTTGAAGATATTGCAGGATGGAATCAACAATCATGTCTTGTGAAAATAAATGAGTTTCGAAGTTAGATAAACGAGTTTGAAGGGCTTGGTAAGTTATTGGTCCGAGAGAGAAGAAAATTAACCATTATTTGTGCCATTATGTTCAGCAGTAGACGCAGAGTCTATGTCTGTGATAATGACGATTACAACTTGACGTTTTAAAAGAATCCGAAACAAATGAGTGATTTCTATTCAATAATGGTTATTTTAAAATTAAATCTGTAATAAGTAACTCGCTTCTTTCGCAAAATGAAAAAGTATTTCACTCTATAACGTATTGTGGTTGCTGTATTTCCTTCGAAAGGAGTAAAATATACCGCATAATAGTAAAAACTAGGATGACTTTAACTGGGTAGATGCCGAATAGTTGGACGGCGAGCGGTATCTTTCGAAAGTTATGAGCAAGATATGGTTTCATGGTAGTAATCATGGCAATAAGGAAAAACGTATTGCGCAGGTCATGGTACAAGTGCTACGTAAAAAGAAAAGTTGTGAATGCTTTGCTGGCTTCTCTTAATAACTATCAAATTAAATTAATTGGATTTTTTCAGATGTAGAAACATTTCAATCGTGGAATGCGTCAATAAAACATTAAGTTTTCGTTTGCGAAATCGAATAAATGCAAGCGACGGCACTCGCTCGAGCGATATTTGCAAGTTTATAAAAACGCTGGCAAATAACAGTTCACCTTTTATATAGAAGAGTAAATATTAGTGAGTTTCGTGTTTAAAAAAAACCCAATCAATTACAGAAGGTAACAATTTCAAAAAAATACCATCACACTAAAAATGATCATGGCATGGCCTAACCCATTACCTTATATTCTTTGCACGGTACCATAGTTCATGTTTATTTAGGTAAGTAGGTACGTATATTATAAAATTGTTAAAAAATAATTTTCTGCATTTTTGTATTTAGATATTTGTTTTAGAATACAATATGTATTTGATATCAGAAAGAAACAAATTGCGCACGTGATTAATTCGAGCCACCTAGACATAAGTAAATAATTATTGTAGAAAAATAACATATCTTAAACTAAAAACGCAAGTACCGAAGTCTGAAACCAACCTGAAAACGACATTTAAGGACGAAGAACACCTTATCAACCCGGAAACGGATCGCATCGTAAACGTAACTCAAGGCAGTCTTCTTTTTATGAAACTCTATATTGCGACGCACACTTATCCACACCGTAATGTAAACGCCTCGCCTCTATTGACAGCGCGGCGATACAGTGTTGATCCCTTTCCGGGTTGATAAGTGTGTGATGACCTTTAACCATAAAATAAAACCCAATGATAAAAGTCAAACAAAACATGCACCTTACCTTGTCTACGCCTGACGCAAGTCCCTGCTGCATGCCTGCCACCGCTGCTGAGCTGTAACAAAAAAGGAAAAATAATTACCAAAACTAATTATGATTATGAATAGATGATGCCCAAGTAAAGTAAATAAAAGGACCCTCCTTTTATACATTTATTCCTACTTTTTAAATTGAAATGCTTATATCTAATGTCTAAAAGGCCCACACTAGGTGGACCGACGATCCGGTGAAAGTCGCGGGAAGTAACTAGATGCGGGCAGTGCAGGACCAGTCGTTATGAAAATCCTTGGGGGAGGCCTTAGTCCTGCAGTGGACATCATCTGGCTGAAACGAACTTTATCTGTCTAAAAGAAAAACCCTTAGTAATTTTCCACGAAGAAATATAAGCAAAGTCGACCTAAAAATGTGCTCTTCATACAGTAAATCCAGTGAATTTTGTTTAAAGTCGGCTTAGTATTAGGCAGTCATAGCGGGCTAAGTAAGTTCCCTTGTTAAATACATAATAACAGTTACTCGCGGTGAGGTTCGAGCCAGCTAATCAGGCTAGTTGCGGAAAAGCGGGCTTGGTGTGAGGCACAGGAGTTTGGTGGACTGGGGATTTCTTTAATCCACAACGAGGACACTCTTGACCTGTGATAAAATCTTATTGATTATATCACACGATAAATATATGATCATATCATATAAAATCGATAAAATGGGGCGATAAACGCTTATCGCGGTGCGCATCCTAGGATAGAATGTAATGATGAGGCCGAAAGTGGAAGCTTCACCCGGAATCCTCAACCACAGAGGAACTGGCTATCTTACCTCTAACTGCCGGAACACAACAACTTTGTTTTAACATTGTTATGGCAACAGACATAAGGAAGATGGTGGTAGCTAGTCAGGCGGACTTAGAACAAATCCTACTACCAACCAAATCGAACAAAAAAATCTTCCCCCGCTGGGAATTAATCGATTCCCGGACCTCTGGTTCTAAAGCAGGGGTAGACACTAGACTACAGAGGCTGTTTATAGAGCTAGCTATTTTTATTCGACTACCTTTCACTTTCAAGCTAATTTCATCCAGTGGACAAAGGCCTCACTATGAATGGATTACCACAACGATTTTACATGGAATTTCAGAACAATGATAACGCATGTTAACTGAGTTTGGATCCAATTCCAATGAAAAACAGAAGGATTATTATGAATAAAAATATTGACATTATAGATTCAACAAAAATAAGTACGACTAATTTTAGATTGAATAGGAATATTAAGAAACACTCACTCGAATTCACCCGTAGTTTTCATCTGTAACTGCTGCAGCAACTGTTTCTTTGCGCCATTTGTCATAAATACAGCACACTGGAACAAAAATAAAACATTATTATCTATACTAATATTATAAATGCGAAAGTAACTCTGGTCTGTCTGTCTCGCTTTCACGTCTAAACCACTAAACCGATTTTAATGAAATTTGGCATAAAGATAGTTTGAGTCCCAGGAAAGGACATAGGATAGTTTTTATCCCGGTTTTTGAAACATGGACGCGCGCGATAAAGTTTTTCTGTGACAGACAAAATTCCACGCGGGCAAAGCCGCGGGCGGAAAGCTAGTATTAAATAAATAACTTTTCAATTTTATAAGTAATACGAAAGATATAAGGAATCTAATATATCGCTCTCGTCTCATAACTCGAAGTCCAACAAAAAGAGCCTCCATATCTGAAGATACTTTTAAAATCACTTCAGCGAAAGGGTAAAGTGCATTTCTGCGTTCAGATCGCTCCGCTCACACTCTGCCAGTTATGGGGGAATTTGAGAAATGGCTTATTGTTGTTCATGCGATAAAAATCGCCAAAAAACTTCACAAAGACGAAGGTAAATCTATTAAGATACGAGTACGTTTTTTTTAAAAATACATTTATTTTTTTAAAAAGTCTACAAAATAATCAATAGCAATGGTTCTACTAGCTTCATTTGGGAATCGTATTTGGAATTTGACGAAGATCGACAAAATATTTTAGCGATTCTGCGGGCTATGTCAGTCACTCTGGTTCTCCTACGGATCTCCTCATTTCTGATTAGATCACGCAGGGAAACTCCGAGCATAGCACGCTCCATCGCTCTTTGGATGCAAGCGGCGCAGGACCGGTCTTTGTGGAAATCCTTGGGGGAGGCCTTTGTCCAGCAGTGGACGTCTTTCGGCTGAAACGAACGAACGAACGAACGAACGACAAAATATATAGGTAGGTACAAAAATATATTTTAGATTGGATGAAAGAATATGAAAAACTTACTTGTGTGCATTCCGTAGTCTTCTCTTTGACAGGTTCACCGTTCAGAGCTCCTCGGAGCTGTTGTCATTGTCGTTTGGTTTAACGGCAACGCCACACTGAAATTAGAAACGAAACAATATAACATTTTAAATCTTAAAATATAACCCTACGCCGACAGGCAATGGAGTGTTGAAAATTGATAACACTAACGTCCGTATTCACAAACGATGCTTGCTTAAGTGAATCACCAAATCGAACGCACAGCGTTGAATAGAGTTCTGTGATTGGTTAGTGTGTCAGCCTGTGCGTCCACGCGGACTGTTAGAACTCATCGTAATGTTTGCGAATACGGGCGTAAGTATTAGTAGTTTCTTTTGGCTATAGCCGAGAATTGAACTAGACACCTTCTGCTCGAGGTCCCAGACGTTACTGCGCCAAATGGTTACCTATCTCACGCTCAGCTTTGAAGCCCTACTTCAAGCAAACACAATTAATGAGGTATTTACCGCAAAACCTACACAAAGCTAATTATGAACGCGAATATAAAATGCAATCAGTACCTAATTACACTAAGGCTGAGTTGCACGATCAAGATCACGATCAGTTTATTATTTTTGTTTACGCAGACACTGTATGTTGGATGTTTTTAATAAAGTATGTAGAACAAGCAATATTATGTAGCACATCGTATTGATTTTAAATCTTAAATGTAACTTGTGTAGATTTTAATTTTTTTAATTATATATTATTATGTATAAATATTAGATTATATATTTTGCTAGAAATAGTTCTATTAATAAAGTAATGTAAGCCTTTTTTTTTTGCCTGAGATACAGGAATTATAATTCTTAGTTCAGGCACGTATGTACTTTTACCTATTATAGTTTAATATTAGCCTATTGTTAAAAACTGTCAATAAGTTATTCAATAAAGAATTTATTTATTTATTTATTATTTATTTATTTATCTTATTTTAACTTCGACAAACGTCAAAAATCTGTCAAACTCCATACAAAAAGCACCGGTTATCGTTATATTTACCGTTAAAGTTGGGTGGTGCAACTCAGCCTTAAACAATAATACTCGTATGATTTGGTACCTTTCTTTTGTGCTTTTCCTAGGTCTTCAAACAACGTAAATAAAAATGAACCTGTGATCAGTGCAATCAGTGACCTCCGAACAAACACAGTACACTTCCTGCTACTACCAAGTACTATTACCACTGGTCACCTCCATCACGCTACCAACATTTGTTTTTTTTTTCACTACACTCAGGTTAAAATAAATATTTCGATTATAAATACAGTCGATTGATACTTAAAACAATGCAAGACTCATTACAAAACCAAACAATAATACGAAAGTCGCTTCGTATGACGCGCACAATGTTATTTCGTCGGGTTCTATTATCAAGTGATGAAACATCCAACAGCCGCACCCACAATTTAAAAGTAGACTACCTCCCGATATTTAATAAAAATACGCGCCTAAACTACCCACCTTAACGCATCCACGGAACACATCGTAGATTAGCCTATTATATATATAGATAATATAACTATATTAACTATCTATAATATAGCATCGGAAAACGGCCGACTAGCTTGGTGGTTCACGCACCGCGTTACTATACAAGAGGTCGCGGGTTCGATTAAAAAAATATGTCCAGGAACCTATTATTGCTTGTTTCGGCCGGTTATGTTTATTTAAAAATGTTGATAGGTATGCAGACGTTCTACATATAAGTAGTTCATCAAGAATTTGATAAAAAATAAATCATTAGATAAAATAATTTAAAAATGAATGTAAATATTAACAAACACTTACCTAGTATGCGTTCCGTACTTTTCTTTTAAACATGTCCATCTTTAGGACTTTCGCGGCATCATTTTCCTTGTCGTTTTCTTTGACATGTACACGTAGTACTACCGCCACACTGAAACAAGAAACAAAACATGTTGGTTCACTTTTACATGAAATATAAAAACTGGGGAAGGCATTAATTTGTGAAAAAAGTATCCGAGGTTCTATTGGCCCCAACCGGGAATCGAACTTGGAACACCTGACGCTCGAGGCTACGCCACTGCGCCATCAGCTATTGGAAGTTTTAGTCCCATCACTGCGCTCATGTAGTTTTGGAGGCCTACGTCCAAAACAAAGTACGGTTCACCTCAATACGTACAGACACAAAGCAAATAGTGAATATGAATGCAATCAGTAGGTATCTAGGTAAAATATAGCTAAATTAGTAAGTAGGTACTTTTTTGATGGTTTTCCATCTTCAAACACCCATCACGTCACAAGAATGTGTGGCCCCCGCGCACAAACAAAATCTACACTTTTTTTCCCATCACACTGCCATGAATTTATTTTTACACTACACAGTTTATAATATTTGTCTGATTTTGAATACAGTCGATCGACACTTAAAACAATGCAAAAACTGATTCGTCTCACTACAAAACCGAACAATATTGGAAAAAGAAAAAAAGTAGCTTCGTATTGACGCGCACTATGTTATTCTGTCGGGTGCTATTAGCAAGTGACGAAACGTCCAACGGCCGCACCCGCAATTTAAAAGTAGACTACCTCTCGATGAAAATTATAAAATGAGCGCCCGAACTACCCACCTAACGTATTACACGGAATTCACCGTACACACATAGTATAGTATAGGTAAGTATGGAATCGGATGATGGCCGCCTGGCTTAGTGGTTACCGCACCGCGACTTGTGCCGCGACTATGCTGGTCAGAGGTCGCGGGTTCGATTCCTAAATGTTGAGTGCAGGAACATTTTTGTTTCAGTTTTTTTCTAAACATATAATGTTGATAGTACAAGTATTGCTTTGGGATTAGGCAGGCAACAAATAATTATTTAGACTGAATGGAAATATTTAAAAAAAACTCACTCGTATGTATTTCGTAATTTTCTTTTGAACAGGTTCACCTTTAGGAATTTCTCAGCTACTCTTGAGGTTTTCTTGAGCGTACACGTAGTAAGTACCGCCACACTGGAACAAGACATAAAACATGTAGGTTCACTTTTACATGAAATATAAAAATTAGGGAAGACATTAATTTGTGAAAATAATATCAGAGTTTCTAAGGATTGGCCCCAACCGGGAATCGAACTTAGAACACTATACACTCGAGGCTACGCTACTGCTCCATTGACTATTTGACGCTTTAGTCCATGCACCGCGCTCATGTACGTACTTTTGAAGGCCTGCGTCCAAAACAAAGTACGATTTCACCGCAATATGTACTGACACAAAGCAAACGGTAAATATGAATTCTAGGTACCTTTAAACTTTAAATTTTTAGTACCTTTGTGGTGGTTTTTCCATCTTCAAACACCCATCACGTCACAAGGATGTATGGCCCCCGCGGACAAACAAAATCTACACTCGTCTATCCCATTACATTAACACGAATTAATTTTTATACCACATAGTTTGTCTGAATTAAATACAGTCGATTGACACTTGAAACAATATAAAAACTGACTTGTCTCATTACAAAACCAATGTTGGAAAAAGAAAAAAGTATTTACGAATCGACGCGCGCGCGCACAATGTAACTCTGTCGGGTTCTATTATCAAGTGATGAAATATCTAACGGTCGCGGCCGCACCCACAATTTAAAAGGAGACTACCTCGCGATACTTAATAAAAATACGCGCCATAACTACCCACCTTAACGCATACACGGAGCTATGACGGAGCCACGGAGCTCACCGTAGATTAATAGCTATAGATATAGGTAATTATATTTACTGCTATAAAATCGGAAGACGTCGTCCGCCTGGAGTGACACAGAATACTTTAGTGATTAGCGCACTGAAATACTCGCACTATGCCAGATTTCGATCCAGAGGGTTCGATTCCCTTATTTTGGCATGGGCCGTACTATATGTAGGTACGGCATAAGAAGACTATACTCGTAGATAATAAAAGTATGTTAAAGTTTATAAATAGCTTTTACTTAGTTTTTTACGGCCGAATTTTCTAACATCAAATAAGCTTTTATCTATGTGCTATTGACTGCTTTTATACAAAAAATACATCAACATTTTCAATTATTTTTTCTTCAGATAAAAGTCCAATCGAACCATTGGAAAACGGCTTTTCGTTTATACGAGCATGTCACATAATATAGTGGATTGGTCAGCAAAAAGATTATTTTTCAAGCAGAGACTCAAAATTCCAGGTACGAGTAATGTTTAGTAAAAAAAAAAAATCTACCAATACACTGTACTGTAACATAGTCTTTTCCAACCTAACCTTAATCATCATCATCCTCATTATCATTTCAGTCATAGGACGTCCACTGATCGTAGGTCTCTTCCAAGCAATGATTTCCATATTTACTAGTTGGTAGCGGCCTGCGTCTCTTGTCCATTTCTCTTTCTTTTCCCTCATTAGCCGTAACGGAATGGTATCCCCGTGAAGGAAAAAGAAGCAGAGGCAGACAAGCGAAAAGATGGGAGGACGATATCCGCGAATTAGCAGGGCCATTATGGCCACAAATGGCTAGAAACAGAGAAGCATGGAGATCATTGGAGGAGGCCTATGTCCAAGGACAAACTGGAGATGAGTGCAACTAAATTGTAAAATGAAATGTTAATGTTGTAAAAATACCTTGTAATCCAGTAATAAAGGCTTATATTATTATTATTATTATAGCGGCCTGCGTCTAGTGCCTTTCTACCTTTATGATTTCTTCGGTCCACCTTGTGGGTAGACGTCCCATGATGTGTTTTCTGGTACGGTACATAGTACGCAGAACTGACGGCCGATGAAAACTTAACCTTACATAACCTTAAAACATACAATTTGAATACAATATTATTTATAATTTTAGAATTTAACCACAATTATGTAACCTGTAAGTAATGCATTTTCTACAAACAAAAGATGGTTTCTCATTACTCACAACAGACTCATACAAAATGGAGCTCAACAAACCTTCTCCAGTCTAATTAAATAACTTTTATTTATGACATTTATTTGTGTTGTAGAATCTTAATGAAGCCACATACGCAATTTCGTTTGGGGCACTCAAGCAGCTAGATGCCTTGACAAAATAAAGATGTGCGCGAGCCAA